TATAATATATCTGATTTGAGGACAAAAATGTTTGATATCAACAACTGCTTGTGCCTTGTATCATATGTGTAATTGGGTTTTCAGAAAAGATGGTGGGAATCTTGAGGCTGGGTCTGGTGGGTACCCAGACAACAGGAGAAGGGTTCAGCAGCAGCACCCTACCAGCCCTTCCTCTCTCAAGGATCATGGTGACAGGCGTGTCCCTTCTTCGTAAGTAACATGGCTGGCTGGAGACACTGCAGACAGCTATAGTGCTGTTGGGTATTAGGCAAACAGCTGTGCAATCATCTGCTGAAATCTGTATAATATATATATCAAGAATACATAATACGTCATACCAATTTACCTGAAAATCGTATGTGTTTTCAAAAAAGTTCTTTGAATACGACACGGTTTCGCAGTTTTCACGAATGGACGCATGTTTTCGGCCAAAGTTTGATATGCGGCAGCAGCACCAGGTTGTAACCAAGATACAAGATAGAGACAATAGAACACTAATCCCATAATAAACGTTGGCCGAAAACATGCGTCCATTTGTGAAAACTGTTTGAAACCGTGTCGTATTCAAAGAACTTTTTTGAAAACACATACGATTTCAGGTAAATTGGTGGTGTCATATGATTAAGGGAGAATCATAGACGAAAACAAGGTAAAGTTTGAATATATTTATTCACATATTGATAGAATATTTACAAGTTGAAAACTATACAAAACGCCTGTTAAAACGGTGTCGTACTCTTCTCTATTATGTACTCTTGAATATACAGGGTTCTCCAAGCTTTTCATTATAGCATGCGGGTTCTGCATTTACGGTCTAGTTGCAAATTGCCGAAGGCGGTTTGCGTGCTAGCGCGGGGTCCGGGGGCTATGATATTTAGAATGGAGGGTGCATTTTAGGATGCAGGGCTCGACGATAGCCTGGCGGGCGCAGGCTATAAGTGCTCTTGGAGAACCCTGATATATACTATATATATTGTTCCGTTTGGTTTCTCTAGCCTGGGCCTATTAATTAATGTGAATATTGTTAATTAATTAATGTGCCTAATAAATTATGCGAAATTTATTTTCTTGAGGGTCATTATCAGGCTTAAATACCTGTTTAATGTTGCCTGTATACACCATATTTAGTGCCATAATTGGACAGTTGCATTTACTGCCTTGCTGTGCATGAGTGAATGTTTACATTCTAACTTTCACTCGTGGTGATGTGCTATTGCCAGGATGTTATCGGCCCCAGCCAGTGCTGTAGTGCCGCCCTGACCGGAAGCTGCTAGGGATCCACAGGGCTGAGCGTGAGGTCCCGCGCAACTACAGGGATGAGCGTGGAAAGACTCGACATGAGCGTGAGTATATGCGTGCCTTCAACATTCACTTGAACACAAAAACAAATGACACTCTGGAACCTGCCGTCTCTGCCCGTGTGTTAGGAAGTGTGCGTATAGGTGAAGTGGGCATGTCAATGCATGACCATTTTCTAGCTCATCTGACGTATTGTCAGATGCCAGCATGCTAGAATCGCATGATCGTCGGTGCGTGCATGCGTGCGTCCGTCAGTCACAGTGTCGGCACAAATCTGAACTGCTCGACGTATGGCCCGATATTCGGGACGTCGGGCGGGGGGGGGGGAATCGTGAAAATGGTATAGCAGGAAATACGGAATTGCGCGCACAAATCTTAACGGCTCGACCTATGCTCTTAATATTCGGTGTATAGTGTGATGGGCAGGAAACCCACCAACCAGTGCGAAATTGGAGGTCACAGGTCAAAGCGGCCATGGGAAAGGTCAGATATCAGACATTTTCGCTTCTGAGGACATGGCCTAACGGACAGAGTGGAAAACTTTCTGTTTCAGCGTTGACCTACCATTTTTATCATTTTATTGAAAGGACCATGAAATGTGCTTTTCCACTGACGTGACAAGAGCAAGTGTCTGATAACCTTTGACCCTCAAGAGGAGGGTTAAACATGGATTCCTGAACTGCCTCACTTGACATCACAGTGTGTCATATTCATGGCACATCCATAATCTAGAAACCAATAAGCCTGGATAGCCGAACGCACAGCACAAGGCATCACGGCTCAAAGGTCGTTGGATCGAATCCCATCTGATTTTTAGCTCACCTTGACATCGTCAAGCTGAGCTATTGCCATTGTCGTCGTACGTCCGTCCGTCCGTCAACATTTGGCTACGGTCAACAATAACTCAGGAACCGTTTGACCCACATGTTAAAATTGGGTATAGTTGTTACTGCTATGCTCCCATATTAAACGTCCTATTTTGGAGCCACGCAGTCGACGTACTTTCGAGCCACGGCATTTTTTTGGCAAAAATGGGAATTGCCATTAGTTAGTTCAGGTTCAATGGATTTTGCTCATTTTTGGTATGTGAATGAATAAGCGGGTAGAGGTTTTGATATTTAAAAAAAATTATGCAAATTAGGTAAATAAGGGTTTGGCAATTATATAGCATTTATATAGACACGCAGATAACAAACAGTCTGTGGTGTCACATTCGTCTGGTTCGATTTACAAGATTTCATTGACAATATCTTTAAAGGAATAATAGGCCCATCGATTATGCAATTTTAACGAATGCTAGAGTAACTGGCACCTTGTGTAGTTAATAAGTACATTACCTTATAGCCAAACGCGTATTAGTTTGTCGAATATCACTGCTGGTTACTAAGAAATGTCTAATTGAAATCGCCAGTCCAAGAAATCAGTTGACTGACTTGTTTACAGTTTTTGAAACGCATACTGCGAAACGGGTGTGAACAGATTTATAGTGCACCGACATTTTCGCACGCATGCAAAACGCACGCACGCATGCATTTTCGCTCGGCCGTACGCAATGCTAGCGATAGTACAGTACCGTAACTGTATACGTAACAGTAGCTCCGATTGCAATGAACGTGGAATCCACATACGATCACGGCGCTCGTGATAATGAAGTAGGCTGTGTTGGGGGCCAACACTATGGAGGATCGCGGACTAACCACGGCCACAGACTAAACATGGAAAGCGACGGCACTGCGCGTATTTACGTATATTGGTCAAACGAATACACCTGTGTCCGAAATTGAAGACATGTGGGTACCCGTTCATTAGCACCACGGTTATTTACTTGTGCCTCAATACCGGAGAATACACCCAGAGATACATTCTACTAGCTCATTAGTCGTATATAAGCATCCTGGGACAAACAATTCTCTGCTAAACACCCGTAGTCACCTAGCCGAATTCGAGGCTATTTTGCTTGCCAACCAATTTAGCGTTGGCGCCAGATTACCAGATTTACGGGATTTCAATTAGACATTTCTTAGTAATTAGCAGTGATATTGGACAAACTAATACGCGTTTGGCTATAAGGTAATGTACTTATTAACTACAGAAGGTGCCAGTTACTGTAGCATTCGTCAACTTTGCATAATCAATGGGCCTATTATGCCTTTAATGCAAAATTCCTGCTATGAACATGTTTATACTATTATTATTATATTATTATGAATATAATGATTTATGCTAAGAAACATCAAGGCGGGTATAGCGCCATCTACCGTCACAAATTTTGATTCATTTTGCGTTTATAAATATTTATAATTTATATATAATATTATTTATTATTTTCACATAAAAAATTACACATATAATTATCAAGAGTATATAATGGCGAGTTCTCCCATATATACTCTTCGTTTCTATAATGTACGTCGATGGTTGCTCAATTAAAACTGACTTCTTCTCACTCACTCATTTTGATCCTCTCCTGTCCACCATGTCCGGCGCTTGTCCTCTCCTGTCCACTCTGTTTTGCTGAGGTCCTCGCCTGTCCATTCTATCCATCGGTGGCCCTCGCCTATCCCCTATGTCTGATTGGGGTCCTCGTCTGTCCATTCTGTCCGATACTGGTCCCTGTCTGTCCATTCTGTCCAGCCCCGGTCCCCGTCTGTCCAGCCCCGGTCCCCGTCTGTCCATTCTGTCCTGTGCAGGTCCCCTCCTATCCATTCTGTCTGGCCCAGGAGCTCGCCTATCTGGCATGTCCGGCCCACCTTGTCGCCTGTCGCCTCCATCAGGCCCACCTTGTCGCCTGTCGCCTCCATCAGGCCCACCTTGTCGCCTGTCGCCTCCATCAGGCCCAGCTTGCCGCCTGTCACTTGCATCAGGCCCAGCATGTCGCCTATCCATGCCATCAGTCCCTTGAGGACGTCTTTCTGCCCCACCTGGTCCTGGTGCTCGCCTGTCGACGCCATCAGGTGCAGGGGCTCGCCTCTCTGCCGCATCCGGCGCCACCCTTCGTGCTCGTGGTGACAGGGACCGCGACGAAGATCGACTACCCAGAGCAAGCACACGCGCGTGAGTGACACCGTGGTGGGATTCGCTGCATCGACACCAGCAGGTAACGATATTCGTGTATACAACGATGCTACAATGCTACTGATATTATTTACATAAGATTTTTCAGCAGAGTTTTAACAACAACTTTCATACATGTGCCAGCATTTTTCGCTTCCAGATTATCTAAATATAGCCAACTAAAACGAACCTGTATGAGCTACCAGAATGTGAGCTACCAGACGAGGATCTACTAGAAGAGGAATATGATGATGACCTGAAAATCATAAACAACTACTAAATAACAGATCAACCAGCTGAAATCAACACAAATCACTTACTTTCACAGCTTACTCAGAGTGACTGACCCATATGGATTGTTTACGAAAAAGTCTATACCCTGATGACATAATTTTAACGTACACATTAAAAGCCTTCAAACACAGGAGAATCCTTCACAGAGTAAATCACATAAGGTGGAGCACTATAATATTTTAGAATGATCATTCCTACCCTGACGACGAGCTGGAGTAGGAGTTGGATGATACTGACCGCCTCCTATGCAGGGGTGACCGAGTTTGTTTCTTCGATGGTGATTGCGATCTAAGAAGAAAATGACTCATGAGGGTAACAACTGTGTTGTGGAAATAACTGCAATGGTGTAATGTTGTAATAGCGTTAGGACTATTGAGACTAAGAAGGCATAGCAAATAATAGACAAAATTGAAGCTACATTTCAATTAATACACAGAGAAGAAATTATGCTGCAATTAATATAATGTGATTGCACTACACATTTGATGAGAACAGCAATCACTACACTATGATTAACAACTGCAATGAGACTACACTGTGGGTAACACACTTAAATTAAGACAGCGTGAAGACATTGGGATTAACACTGTAATAACTGAGCTGACAGAAGCTGCAGGAAAAGTGAGAAGACTGTGACCTACAACAGTGCTGAAAAAAACGAGCCTAACAAGACTATCAAGAACCTCATAATAAGGAAACCGACCACCAGTACATCTGGGCTATCAGTTCCTATCATTTTAACTAAACATCAGACCACCAAACAAACCAATATAAAAAAACACTTCTCTGAGCAGTGCAGCTGGCAAAGACAGTGAGCACCGAGTGTCCCCATAAACAGTCTCGCAGCGGTACAAAATGGGAGAAGCTTAGAGATTTACCGTCGTGCACGATTCCAGGGGTCATGCCACTCGTCTGGCTTCTTACTCGATGGCCGTGGCTGCTTCTCGCTCGAGTCGTGCGCCTTACGAGGCGCCTGCCGTAGATCCCTGTGTCGACCAAACCTGTGAAAGCAAGTAAACAATACTGCAGCGACCAACCGGCATCCTAATGTGCAGCTAGGTTCTCTGAACTGTCAAATTGTACTCACATCGTCAAACATGCGCCTGCACTCGATAAAACTTGTTTCTCAACCAGGTGAAACTTTACTAAAATATTATATTAAACATGAATGCAAATAACTTATTTAACACAACAGCATAATGAAATTGACAAACCTTGCTATTTACAACAAGTGCCGCGGAGCGACAGCGCTCATCTAACGTCTACTGCGGTGACTCTGTGGTGGAGTGGTGGATCTCGTAAACCCTTAGTCCCAAATGTGTTCACATACATGCCGTAAACAGTGGCAATGCACAGGGTATGGTATCAGGAACCTTCTCAAGGAATGTTGGTTTGGGATCGTTATGAAAGTTGCCACGAGATGGCGCGTACGTTTAAGTGTCTCCAGTTAAAGATGGAAGCTCCCATCGTACGTAGTAGCAACAACTATTTGCCAAGACAGAATAGGTAAGCACACCCCCACCCCCCCCCCCCCCACCCCCCACCCCCCCCCCCCCCCCCCCCCCCCCCCCCCCCCCCCCGCCCCCCCCCACCCCCCCCCCCCCCCCCCCCCCCCCCCGCCCCCCCCCCCCCCCCCCCATTTCCATTACCTACGGCAAGCCTACAGGCTGCAATAGAGAGGCTGCCACCTGTGAACTAATTAACGCAGGCAAAAACTATCTGAACAGCCAACCACACATGCACTGGCAGTGGCATACGTTACTGTAAAATACTGACAGTACAGAAGCCATAGAAATTATATGATTTAAGGAGGCATAAACATTTCTTCAACCAAATTGTAGCTTTTGAATTTCACTGTGAACATTGTAAGCCTCGTAACATCCCATAGGCATGTAATAGATTTGACAGCAAACCCGACAAGTAACAAATGCTCATGTTTAATCCTCCTCTTTGAGGGTCAAAAGGTTATCCGACACTTACTCTTCGCTTGTCAGCACAAAGGGAATTTCAGTCGTCTTTCAAATAAAAGCATAAAAATGCCTAAGGTCACCGCTGAAACAAAAAAGTTTGTCAAATCGCTGCCGTCAGACATTTCCTCAGAAAATGTCTAAAATCTGCCCTGTGCCCATTGACCTGTGACGCGTCCAATTCGGCAAGCAGTGATGGCTTTTCCTACCATGATGCTATACACCGACTATCACGAGCCTAGGTCGAGCCGTTTAGATTTGTGCCGCAATTCTGTATTTCCTCCCTATACCTTAAGTTAAGGAGTGAATGTTCCCTTCTTTTACACCTCTTGACCTTTGACCTTTGACCCCCAGCTTCGACATCCCAACTCGTTTTGACGATCTCCCCCGATGTGCCAAATATCGTGACCGTACGTCGAGCGGTTAAGATTTGTGCCCAACTGTTGACGGACGGACGGACAGACGGACGGCCGGACGCACGCACGGACGGACGGACGGACGCACGGACGGACGATCGTGCGATGCTACAAGCTGCATCTGACTATGTCAGATGAGCAAAAAATTATATAAAACGCTATATAGAGCTTACTTATCAACAGGTGGTGATGGCACTCTCTCCTTTACCTCTCTTCTTGGCCTAGACCTCTCCATTTCCTAATACAGCAAAAAAGAACTGTTAAAACTACCTATATATTTTCGCACACAAAATTTCTTTTGGATTTATTTATATAAATACCTTGTTATAATAATTATGTTATTGTTCAGTGATATTCTAAAATTAGTGGTGAAAAAAGATCACAAAGAGCAAGTGACGATGAGGACATGCTCTACCCTGACTGACACTATTAGATAGCACTATGCCTGCACTTATCTCTTTTTTGCTGAAACACACAAATCAGGCCAAACAAATAAATCAGTCAAATCACAAGTCGACTGCGCTGTTAACGACGCATTACGTACGTGAACAATTGTGCGCTCATGTCCCGCTCGCCGAACCTCAAAGTTTTCATACTCTTGCTGTGGAGGCAATGGAGGATACAGCTCCTCCTCAAACCTGTAAGATTGCGAACCGTAAGTGTCAGCTCTCTACAACCACGAGCAACAGGATAGTAGGCAACGTATTAGCCAGCATGCCGTGCAGCCGTGATTTGCACGATCAGTTTTTAAACTGCATGGCCAAAAAAAATTTTTTTTATTCCGGGGGAGGCCCCCCATATGCCCCATACTCTCCCCCCCTTAAGCGCCTACGGCGTTCACAAAGACCACCTGTAGCGGTCTTGGCCAAGACACACCGACACTGTTTTTTCTGCACTCTCACAATACTCATTCCTGGGGGCCGTTGTCAGAAACATCGTAAAGTTAATGCTAAAGTTAATGCTAAGATAACACCTACGACTAATGTTAATGTACGAGAGGAGCGTTGACAGAAACACATCGCAGCTATTAGAAAACTTACGATAACAGGAACTTCATCACAAGGCTGCTGATTGGATGAGAATCGATCACAAAATTCAAATTCATACACATTTATTGTACATCATAGTAATTTATGCATATTATGATAGCTAACCACATATAAATAATATTTGATGAAAAACGACGCGGTCATGAATATATTCTGCACAACAAGACAAAAATTCTTACAAATTCTTACACTGTAACACGAGACGCGAGAGTCGTGGCAAACATTTAAAACAAGAGAACAAATGCCATACGCCATTTCTAAATGTATTGCTTTGTTTTATGATCGGTAGATAATTAATGATTTTGACGTGTTTTTCAAGAAAAACACACATTTTATTAATTATTATAAAATATAATATCACTATAATTGTAATTCATAGTGTAAATGTGTTTTTTTCAACTTAATATTAAAGTTTTGAGAGGGTCTGGGCTCTCGTAATGTTAAGAGGATATTTTCGAGAATTTTTCATTCTCGTAACGTTGCGATGTTTCTGTCAACGGCTACCAGTGGAAGTTAATGTTAAGACTAATGTTAAGACTAATTTTGTTTCTGACAACGGGCCCCTGGCTAATACCCTGGCTTCACATATTACCATACGACTCTTCACTACGTATGCTCCAATTAAAACTTTTCTTGGCCATTGTGTAACTATTTGTAGATTTGTTATTTAAACACTAAAAGCACATACTGCAAGATTTCATGAACGCTTATAGTAAGTTAGTTACACTAAAAAATAACACTGGAAACAATACTACAGTGTGACTTGGAATATTAATTTCTAACATTACCTAACTGAAGTACATCTACAAACAATGCATACCCATCTTGGAATGGCGGTGCAACTTTCTTCTCTGGAAGCTGTCGGTTTTCTTTGTTCTGTTCGAACTCTTCAACAACTTCCACACTGAGATTGAGGCACTTTTCCTCGTAATCTGGTTCGGTCTCCTTTTTCATGTTTGCGTTCCTAAGGGCCTGAAAGACAAGGAAAACCATTCAGGTTACCAAACCTAAAAATGGAAAGCAACATACTTTCATGGCTGTGTTATATTATAATTGTACATACATACCTCTTTAGCTTTCCTCAGTCCACGCTCCCAAGCAGACTCCCTGGGTGGAGACGGGCGAGGAGCAGGGGCTAGTTCCTCTGGTGGTGGGGGTGGTAGTGGAGGTGGTGGCCTACGTTCTGGGGGAGGAGCTCGCATTACATGAGGAGGGTTTGCTAGCAGAGGCGGCGCATGAGTAGGTCGTCCAGGCACATTATAGCTTCCTGTGAATATTCAATAATTTTAAAATGTACTCATAGTGTCACATTTCTAATAATTTTGAGATTAAGAGGATGCTTGATCACAATATTATTAATAGTTTTTCTACTGTACAATTCTTTGAATTTAATGAGAAAAAAGTGCCATCATCCTACATTCACTCAAAGTAGCAAAATATCTTACCATTAGGGTTCACGTGAGTGAATCGGCAATTAGCACCCCATGTGCACTGGCCACGTGAGAAGAACCGACAAATGTTGCGTGGACGTACAGAAGCTGGTTCATGGAACTCCTTTAGTTCACCTTCCTCGCCATCATCCTCACCCTACAGGTTTATAGCAATTACACGAATGCCACTATACAATAGACGTTTTTAATAGATGTTAATCCCAGAATAAAGTTACAACAAAATTAACGTCATGATCCATTATTAAAATTGAATAACGTTATATAGCACAAACCCTAAGTTCAGTTTCATTAACACTTACATCCACAATTTCTCCTTCATCTAAATCACTATCTATGTATTCTCCTTCTTCCTGCAAAAATGTAAGAAATCATAATAATTGATACACATCATTTATGAACATTTTATATATTGCTCACATAATAAATTAACAAATTGCTAAAAATGGTTCCAACCATTTCATAAATGAGGTTTGGATATCCATTCTTTTATTTGATATAAACACACGCAGCCTGTCAGATAACATGAATAGGTACTGTTAGATCTAGGTTAATGTTATATCTTATAGGATGGTTTGAAAATGTTACAAATTATACATAGCTGCCACTGTGCTTAAACGCCAAACAAAAATGTTTGCTATAATAATGTTTTAATCAGTTTGCAAGGTTGCAGATCTTATGAGTTGCGACAAGGGCCCTAAGAAGACAAATGCATCGCTACTGAATATAATATAAGGCTCATAATTTCAGTACAAGTTTAAACTTACTACTTCTCCTTCTTCCAAGTCTGCTTTTAAATGCTTTTTCTTTTCACGGCTAGGCCTGCGCTCTTGAATCTCCCCTTCCTCTTCACCTTCTCCATAGTCCAACTGTTCCAAATCATCCTCGAGTGAATCGTTTCGTTTGTAGTGTGCGGTATGTTTCATACACTTCTCCTTCTCATCAGAAGATTCAGACAGTAAGCCCTCATCACTGTCACTCACCAATCCTTCATCACTTATCTCCTCAGCCTCATCTATCTTACCTTGTAGTTTTGAAACATCCTTTACTTCGATCTTACTTCTGTCTGGTTTTACATTTACTTGCGAATCTATTTTAGTCACTGCTCTATCACCACTGCTAATACCCTGTAACTCTACGTCATCACATTTTGAATGGAAACGTTGCTTTACATTGTCTTTTCTTGGCAGGACAGTTAGTTGTCGTGTGTGAACTTCATCAAGTTCACCATCACTCGACTCCGAGGTATCTTTTGTGTTTTCATTTGACACACCATCAAATTTTGCATTACCATCTATTCTCACCTCCGTAGCTTTAGTATGTTCACTTTCAATTTCTCCTTCTTCCTCTGAATCTCCAGATTCAGATGAGCTAACCTCAGAAATGCTTCCTAACTGTAAGGAGCGTTTTTCCTCGTCCATAAGCAGCTGGGGTATCTGCACTGGATGAGAACTATTCCCAGAAATTAGTAAATCCTCGCCTTCGTTTGAAGCAGAGTCGTCTGGTTCATCTCCTACCTTCGGCGATACGTTAGGACTTTTTATACCGGTAGAATCTACTTCGGCACCATATTGCTCATCTGTATTTTCATCTGCTACTGCCTCTGCGAATGAAGTTACATTATTATCATGTGATGGAGAATCTTCTGGAGTAGAATGCTGACTGCTCTCACTATCTGATGAAGCTACATCACTTCGAGCCTCCCCATCGCCTTCATTTTCTGACAATTCATCTGGACTTCTGGGTGCTGGGCTTCCTCCTTTTACACGATCCTCGTCGCCATCATCTACTTCATCTTCGTCTTCATCATCCACACCTTCCTCGTTTTCTGTATCTGACATCGGTGCTGGGCTGTCAACCCGCTGTGCTTGGCTGTGCTCTTCACTTGCATTAAATGCAACAGGGGGGCCGACAGGTGATCCACCTTCACTTACACCACTCATGGATTCCACATCACTTCGGTCACTTCCAGCAGAACTGGCCTGATCATCATTGTCCACCTCCATTCTACAATGAAAAAAAAATAATAATAATTAACCTATTAGGTAACTCTGCTAGATACTTAATGAATCCTTTATTTATTATACAGTTGAAATATTAAAAGGTTGTCATGCTACCTTTTTTCCATTCCAACTAGATATGCTATATATATCCATGTACAAATACGAATTAGTCTCATAAATTACAGTTGAATATTATTTAGCATTTAATTAGGTAATCATTCATGACATATTTATTTATATATATATATAAACAATATTTAATTTATTAGGAGTAATAATTAAATTAATAGAAGTTTGACAGTTTCGGTAATCACCAAGTCTTGCAAGGTAAAGGAGCAAAACAACAATTTTGGAACGACAGTGGAACCCCCGATTTTATGCGCCCCAATTTAACGCGAATTCGGATATAACGCGATGAGTCGTTGGACCCCCTTTTTTTGCTCTTATATAGCAGGGTTCAACATTAACTTATTTCACTAGACCATCGGGCTAGTAACTGAGGAAAACCACTAGCCCTGACCTAACTTTCACTAGCCCAGACCCAGACCATTGTTATGAAAAACTTTATTTAGATAAGAGTGTGTCATCGTATGAATTCATAGATGCTGTTCCCGCGCTTTAAATCGTGCGTGGGCCGAGTTCACGTGCAGCATTCGTACTCTACCACGGGCATACACGAGCGCATGGTTTATCGATCATCTACTGCGGCTGGCAGCAAGCCACGTTATTGTTTTTGCCGAAGCGTAGACTGGTATCCGGCCTCACGATCTGCTAGACAATGTACACGCTCTGCGACAAAGTGCGGCCGCGAACCAGTCTAGCCAGAGGTGGTGACCTTTCAGTGCAATATATATGACCAATTCTAACACGACCAGTCACTCTGGTTGTATGCGACCGGACCAAGCATTTACCCGACTAGGTCGGTCGGACGTGGGTTCGTGTTGAACACTGTATAGCCACATATATTATAACCCCGATTTAGCGCAACCCCGCTTTTTTCGCAATGACATATTATGGACCCCACACAACCATCACGTTATAACGAGGCTACACTACTACTGACTTTATTAGCTACATCACCTACACTTCTCAACTAATTACCTTGATATTTCATATGAGATCTGTTTACACCAAAGTTATGATTATAGCTTACTAATTGTAGCCATAATTTTACTTCTTGGCAACTCAAATGGAATGATAGATGTTGTCATAAATTTGACTTCTAAGAGATAAAAATGAATGTAAATCTGATTTTACACCCTATATTTGCTCTCACTTTAGTTTTAACCCACACTGTATCATGATTCATTAGTTAGCTATTTTTAGATCATTTTAACCATAATCGTCTGGTTATTTCCCATTTTTCTTATTGTTGCCATGGAGATGGAGCACCAATTTCACGTTGACCACGAGCCATCGTGGCTTTGCACTATATCTGCATTAAATAATGCAAAACAAATGAGGATTATGTAAGTTATGACTCAACTAAAGAAACAATATAATATGACATTTAAATTACCACCATTCGATAAATTGTGATTTTTAGTTTATGTGTTATTGTAGTAATGGCAACATGTCATTTGTGTTGATAAAGCCACTGTGTGTTACTGGCAACATACCGTTTTTTAGAAATATAAATACTTTGATAAGAATAGACTATTAATGTGATAGCACATCTAACTTAAAGCGTGTATTGCGAGAATTTTCCAGTGTTTTCCCCACTTTCATGATACCTACCGTTATTGCTTGAGTAACAGCAATTGTCTAGAGTAACGATAAAATGTCTTAGAACCTTCGTATTCACCAAATCCAATGAAATCATGCACGATTACAATTTTGCGTTCTGTTTCTGTTTACCGTTGCCATCTCTCGGATTTTCTCGCGGCAGCGCGAGACATCTATCACGGTGCAGTAATGCATACCGTCGCACTGTAGAAATGTGTAAACACAGACGTTCATACTAGCGTAACAGCAGTGTAGTACTAATGCCACGTAAAGTCTGTTATTAGAGAAGCTTGTGGATTGCCAGTCAGATAGTAACACGGGAATGACAATGACAGAAAGTGCTCTGAATTATTGACATAAAAACTCAATAATATTTACCAAACAGAATTGCCCGCCCTTTTGTTTTAATGTGCACTTGTTTTAAGACACCATTTGTGATTTTGAGAGTCGGAACACGATAAAATTTATTGCTGGTACGATGTGGTCAAATCCATTTTTCTATGCTATAACTGCATAAAATCTTGGTGTTTTGAATGTTGGTATAATCAGTGATATTTCCACTGTCAGGTGTGACTATATTCAGCTATATTTAGTTTTTCTGAGCCAAAAAACTCGCAATACACGCTTTAAGGCCATCGTATTCAAGTTTCTACCCAGGAATTTTAAAATGGATGTCATTTACGGATGGATCAGAGAGGGCCTGGGGGTTGTACCAATCCAAGTCAATTATGCATGCCATAACCGGCCCATATATAAAGGCTAATTCAATCAGTTTGGAAACGAATACATCACGCTATTAAAACCCTATTTTGTTCTAAACCACCCGCTGTCACTGCAAAATGCTAAAAATAGATTACAGCACTATTATTACTTTAATCTGAGATAGATTTATACTCAAAGAAAATAACAAGTTACGATTTTATAAACATCCTCCGAAGTTCAAATGGTGTAAATCTGTCGATTCGCCTGTGATGTCATCAGACTGGCATTGCTAGTTGTAACAGTCTAGTCACATAATTTGCTGAGAAAGTAGGTAATCCAAAGCCTAGTGGAATAGTATCAAGTACAAACCGTGGGGTTCAAGGATAGAGAAGCCGTTGGCATGACAGTGCTAGGGGGGTCTGGGGGCATGCCCCCCCCAGAAAATTTTGAAATATTTAAGCCATTTTCCTGCAATCTGAGGCATACTGTGGGCCATATTCTCATGTCTGATGACACTATCTCAACCCTAGACTCAACCCTACGAGTTAGGATTCAAAACACTTTTCATGACTTTTCAGAGAGCGTACACAGTTAGGTTACTATAGTAATAATACATGTATTAAAACACAGGTAAGAATTGCAATTTCTCACGTCACGTCTCAATTTCACGTGTTTTTGTATGTTTGCAACCATACTTTTTGGCTATTTGTGAGTCTGGAAACATTTTCTTGAAGAGTTCATTTGCATGGTCTGCCGCCCTCAAAGGCACATTGTGTTCAATTAAATAATCCGTAAATCTCACTTCTACGTCAAGACAGACAATTCTCTATTGGGACCCATGTTCTCTATCCTTGGGCCAACCGTGGTATAAAAAGAGCCCTAATAGTAATACACTATCCTGTATCCATAATTGAAGACGAAAATTTAAGATTCGCCTTAGCCTTAGGCTTAGGCACCAGTAACTCCAGGTTTACAATATGAGGGGTTTACAAATAAATAACAAGTCAACATTTCTAACTACACGCAATGGCTACGATTGCAGTTTGTACGTACATCAATCAAACTGAAATTTCTCCGTAGGCTGCTAGCCGCTAGGCTAGTCTGACAAATTATACTAGACAGCAGTGCCAGTACTCAGTAGCCTGTAGGCAGTAGGGCCTAGTGCCAGTGGCAGTGCCAGTACTCAGTAGCCAACTCTTCCGCCTCGCGTGCGCGTTTTACACGCTGTGAAATCACAAACAAGATTAAAATTATGTCCGTAGGAAGTTCAGCAGTGAATTAGATTCACATATTTGCTATAATCATGTTCACGTGATAATGAACTAGTCAGATAAATGCCGGTTCAATAGTAGATATTACTATTACTATTACTAGATAAGTCAACTTCGCAGCAACAAGAACATCACGATATCAATTTCTTAAAGTTAGCGTAACGTGATTGGTTGCTTGTAGTCACGTGTTATACCTGCTGGAACTTTTCAACGTGATGTTGTCTGCGATTGATGCTCACAAATGAACTGCTCAAATTTTACAGTACATAATCATAAATTGTTAAAATACAATATTCGTTATGATAGGCATTTTTGTGCGCTACTTAAACAAATTGTCACAACACTTTTCCCCTAAGTGACCTTCGCAAGGAATTGTGGGTCATCTTGCAATCGACCAGAGTCTGTGTTCATGAATTTTTGTAAAGTACAACAAACTTCATAAACTCAACGTCAGCGTAGTTAACAGAAACCATGACGTTCTGGAGACAAGCTGGCATCAAGTAAGATAATAATTACCTAGTGTTAGGCGTGTATTTACGATTTTAACTGCTTAGTTTTATTATGGTCAGAAACCGAGAAAGTGATAAACCGCGCGGCGACGCTAGACCTAAAAGTAAAGCCAAGTAAAGGCTAAACTGCCCCGCACACGGTTAAGCCCGGCGCACACTAGATACAATAATGTAACCCAAACACAGGATAGGGTTACAACGCGTCGCTATGGTTTTTTGTGGAGGAAATTCAGGGAACCCTGAGTGAATCACTCAGGGCGGTTTGCTTGTGCGTTTTCAGAGACTAGAACTTCCAAACTGGGTTTATTCTCAACACGAACCTTTCTCCGCTATCTGGGAACTTACTATGTATCACAATACTCTGTATTAAACTAATATAACCTGTTACAAAAATTCGAAGTGACGAGCAACGGATATTTCGAGCGCCATTTCTGTTGACCTGTGACGTACGCATTCTTAATGCGCATAGCGATCGGCAAACGCAGCGCCCTCAGATTGGTCGGTGAATCCGCTCTTCAAACCGAAGTACGTCACAGGTCAACAGAAATTGCGCTCAGTATATTCGCCGCTCGTCACTTCAAATTTTTGTAACAGGTTATATTAGTTTAATACAGAGTATTGTGATACATAATAGTAAGTTCCAAGATAGCGGAGAAAGGTTCGTGTTGAGAATAAACCCAGTTTGGAAGTTCTAGTCTCTGAAAATGCACCAGCAAACCGCCCTGAGTGATGCACTCAGGGGTTCCCTGAATTTCGTCCACAGAAAACCATAGCGACGCATTGTAACCCTATCCTGGGTTTGGGTTACATTATTGTATCTAGGCGCACACGTGAGTTATTTTACTCAAGTAAAATGACGCATGAGTCTAGTTACTCAACGAAAATCCGCCGCATACGTGAGTAAAATGACGCATGCGTCAAATTACTCAACGAAAATCCGCCGCACACGTGAGTAAAATGACGCATGCGTCAAATTACTCAACGAAAATCCGCCGCACACGTGAGTAAAATGACTCGTGCGTCATTTTACTTGAGTAAAATAACTCACGTGTGCGCCGGGCTTTAGCTCCAAGAAACGGTCTGCTAGGGTTAGAAGACCGTTTCAAACATTGGCTGCAGCTAAACACGTAGTTGTCGTATTTGCCAAGTATCGCCAAAGAACACTTCACGTGATATACCAAATGAATGACAGTATACATCCACCTTCTTCAAGTTCAAGTTCTTGTAACTATCAGTGCACTACGTAGCTCACAGGCACTTGGAACGTCTCAATAAAAAAAAATAATGGTAAATAAACATTAAATGTATTTACTACCAAAGTCTTAATGTTTCTCTACTCTATTTCGCCTATAATCACCTGTAAATGCCAGTCAAATGCTCATCTGCAACACACAAGTAAACCGCACGCCCGCGCTGTGCACAAACAACATGAATAAGAGAGCAGGTAGGAAAGCGTGATCGCAAAATTTGCTCGACGCTCGCTTCATTTCACACGATCACAGAACGAAAACACATCCAACGGCTTCCATCTTGGTATCTATGTGTACATAAATGTTCACTTGTTTGATTTATAACTCTGGCTTTTGTTCTTACCTACTCCCGCCAGAGATATCTCGTGAAATCCTGCAGGAAATGGTCTCTCCGTGAAAATGTAAAGAGGACGTATCCTCCAAAAATCCCTAACGGCGCTACTTTCGATCGATCGCTGTAGTCGTGTGTGCGTGACGTCATGCCCGCGCGCATTGTGCTTGGCTTGGCGGGCCTCGAAACAGAGCTCGGAGGCCGGCAGCAGCTCATCCCGGCATGCAATGCGCCCCATTACTCGTGTATAAACAGACATCTCGTCCTCTTTACATTTTCACGGAGAGAACATTTCTTGCAGGATTTCACGAGATATCTCTGGCGGGAGTAGGTAAGAACAAAGGCCAGCATTATAATTTGAACAAGTGAACATTTATGTACACATAGCTACCAAGATGGAAGCCGTTGGATGTGTTTTCGTTCTGTGATCGTGTGAAATGAAGCGAGTGCCGAGCAAATTTTGCGATCACACTTTCCTACCTGCTCTCTTATTCATGTTGTTTGTGCACAGCACGGGCGTGCGGTGTACTTGCGTGTTGCAGATGAGCATTTGACTGGCATTTACAGGTGATTATAGGCGAAATAGAGTAGAGAAACATTAAAACTTTGGTAGTAAATACATTTTGTGTTTATTTACCTTTTTCTATTTTATTGAGACGTTCCAAGTGCCTGTGACGTAGTTCTAGTACTATAGCCCGCTTACATTAACTGCCGCTGGGCTATAGAACGAGCCATTAGGGATGCGCGGGACTAACTTAGACTCGCTTATACCCGGCTATAAAGCGTCTGTGGTAGGCAATTAATGCCTCTTATCCGAAGTTAATATGTCTTAAGTTATATCAGCTACTAAAATTTAACCTCTAACTATCGTTGCAATGGTATACTTGCGATATTTCTTGTAAACGAACATTCGATTTGCGAACTTCAAACGGCCATTTCTGGCAGCGCTGCAGCAGCGCCAGTGAGCGGGAACTATGTATTTCCGCACGTGGAGGGGTGGGCGGGTTGGGTTGGTTGTGGACAAAAACATTGTTGTTGTCAAGTAACAAATTAAGCGATCAAAAAAGATTGTAATATTAGTTTTGTCATGAAAGATGAACAAATTACTATTAAGTATTATTAATTTGTTACTTGACAACAACAATGTTTTTGTCCACAACCAACACAACCCGCCCACCCCTCCACGTGCGGAAATACATAGTTCCTGCTGACTGGCTGGAGTAAGTTGGTCCCGAGCATTCGTAATGGCTGATGCTATAGCCCAGCGGCAACTGTACGCGGGCTATAGTTACTAGAGCTATGCGCTACGATGCGCTCGTTACTTACGTTACGGGGTTCACGGTGACTTTTTGAGATGAATGCAATCAAAATCATGAATTCGCCACCATTCTGTATCATTCCGACTGCGACTAAAATCCGCAATGGACCGAACAAGGGAAATTAAATGATCTGCGGTCCTCATGTAAACCAACCCTACATCCGAGAACATGTTGTCTTAGGTTTTTCCAATTGGCCCAGACATTTGTGAACATCGTTCCACTTGCTTTGGTGTGTAATTGCCGTGAGAGCCATCGTGCAGCTATTGTACTATTTTTGTAGCATTTTCTAGCGAGTCTTTTTCGTTTCGGGTTTTCCGTGTCTCAATTGTGTATCAAATGTGTCTCAATCCACAGTGTAAACATGGCGGGTAAACAATCGTGGAATTTAGTTGATATACTGTGAATTAAGAGATACGAATCTAGTTTAGAAGCAGGACAACTTGTTCATATTTCAAACAAGGCAAGTCAAAGGTGGTAACAGAATAGTTTTATTTGAGATATACAGAGTTACATCTAGATCTGCATAGGTGATAGGTTTTTTTGTATGGAGGTTTTTTTGTATGGAAGCGTGTCAGGCTGTATAGACAATCTGTCGCATAGCCTCGTCTGGCTAGCATACGGTGTCTATGGACTATCTAGAGTGTCTCGGTGTCTCGGCCAACACTCCTATTAAATATGCCAAAATGCCCTATAATAAGCATATGAGTTGTCCTATAAACTCCTATATTTGTCATTGGAGAATAAACAGTCCTACATTTCCTATATTTGAATGATCAAAATGTGCTGGGAGGCATGCTAGTGACAATTCTCTTGAAATCGGCAACCACCAGAAAAAGGTTCATCTTACTGAGTGACGTAGTGGTTCTAGACTGGTACAACATCTCTGTTGCTTAATTCAAGTTACCCTGTTAAATTACAGGGACAAGGTCTCTCAAAAAACAAGTGTCATCTTCAAATAACTGCGTCAACACAATGTAAACAAACAGGCTTAAATCATTGTATACTTTTGTGAAAATAACAGTGAACAAGTGTTCTAAGACGTGTTAACCTAACTTTAGACACTTGCTGTTATGCAAGCAATACGAGGAAAATACTGTAGTAGTTGGGTAAATACAAGAACGGTCAGAAAAACTGTTTGGAATCATCACGTTTGAGCTGGGTAGCTTTAACTTTTAAGGAATAATTTCGTTTTTCTATTCTTAGCATAGTTAGCCTAATGTATTCTTCATCGTAGTCCATGTGAGATAAGACCAGAATTTATTCGGAGACAGTCGGGCGTCTGCGCTCAATAGGAATCTATGTCACAATGTATGCTGCATTGAGACAGCTTACACTGTCCCTCCTTAAAGGATGCGTGCCAACCACTACAATTTATCGGTATTTTATACGAATTTCGTTTGCATTTTGACCACTACGACCAATTTGCATACAACTACGATTTTTATTACGATCGGAAAAAAATTATTTTTATGATATTTTAAGTGTTTTATTTCAGTGTTACATTGATATAACATGATTAAAAATAACTACATGTATTTAGCAGCAAATATCAGTTTGAACTTATTATCATTTTGGGTCCCAGAATGCAGGAATTTGCATCTCGGAATCAAAAATTTTCCGGGGGGCATGCCCCGAACACCCCCCTAACATACTTGGGTAACTGCGTGACCCTCGGACTACAGATTTCAGATATCCTCACTACAGTTTGCTCAGAAAAGTGTTGGCATCTCTGCATCCAGCACTATGAAGTCAGTAGTAAGCATCTCACTGGTGTCTGTCTTGCCAGTTGCGGAGCAATCCAGTGATTGTCTGTGCTTGGTGCACTGTGGTACTGCTGCACCCAAACGAGCGATCAGATTGCATCTATTATTTCAGTCCTCAATTGGCGACCAGTGATGCACGTTTTGGCTGCCAAGCAGCAATTTTGGTTACTAATACGTCTGTTTTTGTTGCTGTGTAGAACACTGCTGTAGCAGCAATATGTTTGTCGACCAGCTGGAATTAGCATTTTACAATAAACATTACACTTTTTAAATAATCGTGACTAGCTACTGTGGTGTTAACTAAGTAATTGTATTTGGTTTCAATCTTTCATAACTTCCAAATTGAACTTCCACATGTTAAAAAATATATTGTTTTTATATCAGCATGATGCACTCCTAGTATATTACAATTGTTGCTTCATAACCCATATATGTTGATATATATATATATTATAATCAGGGTTCTCCCCAGGATGAAATTCAAACAGGGGGGAGGGGAGGGGTAGGGGAGCGCGGGAGGGGGGAGGGGGGAAACTAGGGGGGTTCGGGGCGCGTGTATTTTTACGTACGACTAATTACATGCAGTAAATTGCCACCACACCATAGACGGTATTTGGGGTTCTTGTATATATAAGATAGCCGAGTCGGTGTACAGTTAGTGACAGGTTAACTGTTTATTGGCAGGTTAAGTTGTTTACTGTCTGCATTGCATGCGTCGGATGTCCTGGTCGAACGGCAATTCTTGACGATCGATTCCCGCGGTGGCAAACTTTTATTGTGGTGGAATTTAAACGGGGCGGAGGTAATTTAAACGGGGCGCAAGGATTCAAACCGGAGGGGGGGGAGTTTTCCCAAACGGGGCGCGCGCGCGCCCCGTTTGCGCAACGTAGGGAGAACCCTGATAATGTGGCATGTGCATGTGCGAGTCTAGTTAGACAGGTTGAACGTAATCTATGTTGGATCACAAATGGACTGTATATATGTATAATCCCTGTTTATTATTCTGTGATTGCAGTTACATTCAGTACTCTCAGATAGCAGCAAGAGTAGTCCGACGAGCACTTAAGCCAGAATTTAAAGCAGAAGCTTTGAAGAGAGAAGGCTCCGATGCTAAAGTTGTAAAGTGGGAGAATGGAAAACCTATGAGTGAGTGGAGTAATTGATATTTGTTGTGTGGTTTGTTGGATTGTAAGCGCCTATAGATGGCAGCAATGTCGCACAACTATACCTTCATATTCTGGTTAGCATAATGAATGCAATCATAAGGCTGATGATAGTGGCAAGTGTTTATAAGTGTAGCAAATTGTATATAGCATTGTTCATTTTAACTTGGGCACAAATTTGTCCTTGTTTTCATACCGATTGTTATTTAAGAAATTATATGCATCTTCAAATACCATTCATGGTTTAATCATTCATTTAGTTCAGTGTCAGTCATTCATTAACTCTCATCAAAGCATTCGCGTACCCATGATAATTTTGTTACCTACCACATTTGGCCAACATAATTGTGTGTGACAAGGGACAATTGTTCATTTTATAGCTTCCTGTTAGTAATTTAATATACATGTATCAAACTAAATATTCAATAAATATACTATCGTTACAGAAAATATAAGCTTTGCATTGACCGATATCCTTTTTTCTATTTCAGAGGGAGCAGCGTAACCACAAACATAATGTAGCCATCATCCTGATCACAGCCAGCCTCCAGTGTTGAGACAACCAAAATTATAGAATAGCATTGCAGTCTTAAAAACCTGTTAAGCCCGTATGGGATGGGTCAGTGTTTTACTGTTTTTCTTATTATGTAGATTCCGTTACAAAGACAACCTCTGAAATAATACATCAGTCATTTCATGTAACTGTAACATGTCTGTGTTTTTTTTTTTAACTTGTACCTTTACATGTACATTCTGTTGTAAATTGTATCTGAACAGCAAGTTTTATTAAATTGTTATTGTAAATTTAAGCTGAATTTTAATATAGGTTCATAGTAAATGGAGATTAGTGTCATTACTAATTCCAAAGACACTCGAAAACACACCAAAAATTTAGCATCTATTATAAGATGAAGTGGAATGAACTTGTTCGGGAAAATATGTTCATTCTATATACAGGTTCCAGCAATTAATTGGCTGTAATATACGTGTAATTTATAAGTACAAATTTAATAGTTTTATAAATAAACCAAACAAATATAGGTGTTGATGATAGCACATGGTTTGCGGTCAATTAATAACTTCCCTCAGTGTACAAAAATAAAAATAAACCATTCTTTTAATTTACATGAACTGGAATTGGACTGCTTTCCCACTGATGTGCCTGCAATTCTAACAAGTTCTACTGTGTAATGTTCTTTACATAGAAAAGTTGTGTAGTTGTTGTGTTATGCTCCGTTCTACTTGCATTGCAGAAAGTGCCATATAATTTATTCTTGTGCACAGATGCAAATGGTAGAGGGGTATTGGTTATGTTGCTCATAGCACAAAGCGGTGTTTTCTCGCAGTTCGTACTCAAACGTGACCAGGTACCTTTATTTATTCAAAAGAAATTTTGTTTACATTATTAACAAAGCAGATAGAAGCTCTGCGTTTCAAATCTCTATTGGCTCACACAAGCTGCAGTGTAACATGAGATTTTGAGTACTTACTGTTTGTATTTTGACAAAGATGACGTTTTTTTAAACTTTTAAACACCTTTGTTGACCACCCTACTCTGTTTATGATTAGGTGACCAATACTAGCACACACACTAGCACATACGGGTCTTTGTTTTGTGATGGATATCACTATAGTCTAGTGACTGTTGACTCCTCGTCGCTTAGTGATAGCACCTGGTTGGTATGCCCCGCACTGCTACTTGGTGCTAGTTCGGCGTCGATGCAGCCTTCAAAGGAACAGTGTTTTGTCTGTAGTCGCTGACCTACACGTACACTCCTTTGCACGTGTGGCGCCGCCGGAGCGCTGCTCGTCCTACGCAGTGTGGCGCCACCTTGCGTCCTGTGCAGCTTTCTCGCCGCCTGCCGCCTGCGCATCTCGTCGCTGGCCTTCGACATGTGTCTGCTCACGCGTTGCGCGGCGCCCTGACTAATCCTCGTCACCTTCTGCGCGGCATCCTGGCCAGCCTTGCTCACCTGCTCGATCACCATGCCGTTGATGTTGCTGAGGAAATTACCGATGCCCTGACCAAACAGCGCCGATTCGCTGGCGTCGTTGCTAGGTGCCGTCACGCTTTTTCGGCGTGCTGGCGACGTGGTCACCTGCAGGTACAAGTTCGTCTGTGCAGCCAACCTGTCCAAAATCTTCTGCTTTTTCATTTCCTTCCAGTCAATGTATCTGTAAAAATGCATGGCAGATGTAATTATAGTGTTTTTTGCAACGTGCCCGTGATTCTGCATGTTAAAAAATCATGTTAATTCGTTCATGTTCAGCTTATTTTTTTCTTATGTTAACTCGTAAATTAATAATTATTCGGGATTGTTGCGGCGTTCACTCAATCTCTTGAGCTTTCATATCGATGAAGCTCATCGGGATGTACGTAAACTACCCGTCCTTATCCCACCAAACGAGGGCGCCACTAGCGCGAGTTTCTCAGGGCAGCGGGTAAAAAGGAAGCAGTGCAGGGGGATTTTAGATTGATTGCTTGGAGGCGATTTCGGTCTTCTGGTGCTGCCCGCATATCGGCCAGTTGGAAAAACATGAAAGACAGAGTAAACGTGTCAGTAATGACGTTCGCTGCGTTTATGGCTGTATACATATGTGGATCAAATGACCAATATCCCCATAAAATCAATGGTGTTTTAAGGCGTTAGACAAACACCTACGGGGTGGATAAATAAGCATGCCGTTGATCGAGCTAATTACATATAATTATACGTTTACGCATACCTAGATGTATTTGAATATGGGACAGTGGTGTATGTTGTGCGCAGCCTACTGACATAGGCCTAATGCTGAACACTTACTAGAAAGGAAACGAAGGAGAGAAAGGTAGCGCGAAGTCTCACATGAATGTTAAAAGATAATACAAACTATAGTGATGATGATGATGATGATGATAATAATAATAATAGTGCACAGCGGTTGGAAAAGGAGAGAAATTGTAAAAATTATAAATTTCTCAATTAAAACCTATACATGATCCACAATGGCTGTGCGACGATTAGGGCTATGATGACAGAAATTATAGATTTCGGCGTGATGATAATCGATACGCAACACAATGTTCGACAAACAGTTCGGTAATGTAAGTTCTGTTAATGAAAGGCTTTCATAAAAATGCGTTATAATTTACGGAGCAGTGCAAATAGCAGAGACAGAAAATCGGTCTGAATTAGGCCGCAAGCATGTCAACGTTACAAGCACATAACATACATTACCTCGATCGACTTGCTGGTGTTTTGTATTTTTGGCATCTATTATTTATCACTAGCGTGAGAATATCGAATTAGTAGCTGTTACACCACGCTCACTTATAATGATCCAGTGTGAAAGAGGGTAATAGCGTGAAAGAGAATATATAATAATATATAATATATATATATATATATATATATAAGATATATATATATATACATCAAGAGTGCATAATAGGAGATCTCCTATTATGTACTCTTGAGACTTGATATACATACATATATACTGTTCCACAGATCGCTAACCCTCATCCATGCTGCGGTCTGGCCACGTTTGTTAGTTCAGGCGACAAACCGACAGAACGTTATTTGAAGCTCTGATTACCAGCAATTTGATATTATTGATCTGCAATATGTCGTTGCAGAGTCTATACCGCGATAAACGTGGTCACGCTGCATAAAGGCAATAATTCATGCGGTATATACCATGAAGCCCAACGTCTCATACATAATGCGACTATAAATTACACCCGCGTTGCGTGCGGTGTCGTCAGTATTGCCATATATTGCAATATTTTGCTATATATATTTTGCTATATATTGCAATATATTGCCATTTTATTGTTTCAACACTAAAAATACTCATTCCCTGATGGACGGAAGCCACGGAACGTGTTTTATTTGACTAACTCTCGTTTATTCTATAATATAGGGCAACATCCGAAGTGATTCCTAATAGATACCGTAATAAATTTAAATAAAGCGCAATAACATTTACTTGACTTGTCGAGCGGATAAGAAAATAACACAACTTGAATGTAAACGTATCGGCACTGTATAAATTCGTAATAAGGTTAACTATGATCCACAACCTCCTACGAAATACACGCGCTTGAAGAAATGCAGCCAAAGTAGAATCAACCTGGCAATGAGAGATAGAGGTTGCGACGAGATGAAGAGATATAAAATAAGATGGGTAGATTAGGACAGAAAGGACAGTAGGGACAACGTTGATGCAATGCGTAGGCATGGAGTCAGAGACACACAGGTACACCAATAGACAGTAGCATGGCGATAGCGAGCCACATGGCTGCCGTGATTTTGTTTTGCAAGCGCAAATATAAACGTGTTTAGCAAATTAACTGCTCATCTGATAGGCGATTGATACCTCATGTGCATCTCAATGAGGCCGTATCCCGTCATTCCGAGCAGAAGGAAGCTGAGGAGGATGAAGAGTTTCACGCGTGCGCAGAGCACGTGGCTGCAGCCGAAGGCCACAGTGAAGCCTAGGCTCTCCCACACCCTGTAGTTCGAGAACGCCGCCTTCTGGGTCTTAGCAAACAGCATCCCGTAGAGCGCTATGGGAATGAGATTAAGAGTATAAAATTAATGCGCAAGTTTAGCTAATTTACTTTAAGCACAGGATTCGTATCTAACCGCTGCTGTCTACAGCTCTATAAGCTACAATTAAGGCCAGCAGCTTCACATGGATTGATTTCCCGCAAGAAAACAAAGGGTTCACATATCCCATGATGAATGGTACCGAAACAACGTCGTATTTCAGTGACTGACGATTGACGAACCATACCTAATTCCTAACAACAGACCGACGAATATCTGGCGAGGTATGGCAATGTAACGCTCATTACCAGCTGCAGCGTAATGGGCCTACCGATAATTATACAGTACTATAAGATCCAAGAAAGCGCTTACGGGATAACAGGTAGGAAGATATTGCACCTGCTGTTTACATGCTTACAGTTGATCTGAGTCTGCCACACGGCGTCGGCGACGCCCCACGAAGCTGCGATCGCAAAGAACACGGGCGAGTCTAGCTGCGTCGGCCTCCACTCGAACAGCGTGATCATCATGCAGACGTTGAGCGCCGAGCCGACCATGAACAGCGGAATGCGGCCGAACAGCTGCACTAGCCGACCGAAGCAGATCGAGCAGAGCGAGTCGGCGATGCCGTAGACGATCATCACGTAGCCGACCATGTGCACGCCCCACGCGCACGTCACGTAGGCCTGCGGCAGACGAACGGAGAACGCGTCATTACTGAAACGGTGTACCGACGTGACACCAACGCTCTGCGGGCAAGACGAAGTCTACGAAATAACGTTCGAAAACGGCGTTCGGTAATGGCGTCCGAAAACAACGATCGAAAACGGCATCTGAAAACGGCATTCGGTAACGGCGTCAGATAACAACGTTCGAAAACAACGTTAGAAAACGGCATCTGAAAACAGCGTTGGAAAAGAATGTTAGAAAACGGCGTTCGGTAACGGCGTCTGAAAACAACGTTAGAAAACGGC